AGTCTCTAAACCAGGAACAGTCTATGCAGACCATTTCCACAGGACATGGCTCACGCTACTCATGCCATTACTGACTACTGGATACAAAGCCAGATCTCATTCCCAAAAGCAGTTCCACCCAGAACATCAGTATTAGAGCACACTTGGTGCTTCAAGTGGGCCTTCTTCCAGAGCACAGGAGTGGGCATTTAACAACCTTCCTTGCTACCCCCCAAAAAGGAGAGGATAAACTCCTACAGTAGATGGGAAGAATGGAGAAGAGGCTCTGTTATCTACACCTTCCCTGGAGCAAGGACTTCTCATAACATCTTGGTGAAGGTGTTGAGCACGCAGTAACGTTTTGAGTTTTGCTGCTCTTGTGCTAACCACACTGTAATGGCAAGCAGTCCTGCCACATCTGGTTGAGGAATCTGGTTTTCAAGGGAAGCACAGCTGAGAAATGCTTCAAACAGGATTTGATTAGCCGATTAAAAGCAGATGCTGTGCTGGCAGACAGGCTGCTGTGGATCATCTGATACAATCCCCTTCCCCTCGTTTTTGTACATAATGTCCTTCCAAGCAAAGCCACCTCCTCCATAGCTATGTCTAAATTGCATTAGGAATCTTGGCTTTCTTTCAGTTATACATGATGTGAATGGTTTTGCCATTTAAAATATTTTAGGGGGATTGTAGAGTCAAGCAGTTTCTGACTTACCAGAAATCCACCTGGTATTCAAAGAGGGAGAGGCCATGCTGCAGAGGGCCTGGGGCTGCAGCATTTTAATCCCTGCAGTCTTTAACCTTTACACAGCCCTTTCCCACCTTCTCCTGGTGGAGGGAGCTCCATCAACACTGGGACCAGAGGAGGAACACCCTCCCCACCACCCCACACTCTTCACTTTGGTATTAAGCATACGAACTAAGAGAGCTCTGTATCCCAATACTGAGGCATAGAACATCTTTCTCTCATTCCACTTCAGAAGGAAACAGTGCCTTGTGGCAGGTTTGCCTGCCTTCACCTGCTCCAGTAGGGCTCAGGGCTGCTTTAGCTCACCTGCATCCTCAGCCTAATGCAGAGACTGGACACTGCACGTTGCTTGTCTCTGTGCTCAGTTGTTCATACTTCTAATTCAGGTATTATTATTTTCCCATGGGAGACTGAAGATAATCCAGTGGGCCAGTTGCCTTTGGAGTACAGGCTATGTATTGGTGTTAGTCCTCCTTGGCACTGGAGGATCACAAATTGAGTTGTTACAGGTAGTTTTCTTCTTACTCTCTTCCTCAAATACAGCTGAAACAATTCACTTACTCTCCCAAGACTGCACTTGCTAACAGAAGTCACTGGGATCAGTTCCTATTTAGCCAGAATCAACATAGTCAGGAATTCCTGTAATACACTTAGAGGTACAAACAAGTTTCAGATTGGGACTATTCTTTTGGTTGCTTGGTCAGAGGTGCAATAGGACATTCACCCCAGAGAGGCCAGGGAAAGGGGATAACTCCTTTTCCTCTTGTTTTTCAGTTTGACAAAAGAGAAGGGCTGGTATCAGCTTGCTGAATAGCAGAACCATCTAAATTAATTTCACATGGAGTGTCTGGTCTCAGCAGCAGGACGCTAATCCTTTGCAGCACTGCAGCCACAGGAGTGCTCAGGGACAGACTGGGGAGAAGGCCTTCAGTGCAATGTTGAGGCAACACAGGCATATGAGAAAGGAAAAACAGGGGTTTAAGTGATCACTCCGCAAGAGAAGGTGCCAGAGAAACTCAGCAGCTCTGTTTTCATCCTAGGATTTTGTGAGTAGGAGTCAACAAGAAAAAGAACAGCTCAGCTCCAAGTGTACACATGGCAAAGAAAGCACCAGAACAGGTTGCCCAAGAGAAGCTGCCCCATCTCTGTAAGTGTTCAAGAACAGGCTGAATGGGGCACTGAGCAACATGGACTAGTGAAAGGTGTCCCTGCCCAGGGCAGGGGTGTTGGAACTAGATGAACTTCAAGGTCCCTTCCAACCAAACTCTTCTATGATTCTAAAAACTCACAGTGGCCCAACAGCCTTAAGACATTCCGACTTTGCCCACAACTTTTTGCCACTTCCTTCTCCCAACAGCATCCAGTTAAGAAACCAGCACAACACAGCACAGGAGCAGCGGCCACCAGATACTTCACCTTTCGCTGCCTTGGCAATTGCTATAAACTCAGCTTAGCCAAATGACAACAGGTAAGCCCAGATACTGTGAGTCACCTGTCCATGGTCAGACTCTTACCACATCCAATGGCAGTGTCACCAAGAGAACACAGTATCTGACAGAAGAGGTGTGGCTGGCGAGTGCCCCAGCACCACATCTGGGTTTCACTGACAACAACGCTGTCACTCTACCACTGTAATGCCCTGTGTGATGCTGAGGGTAATAACGACACTCATAATGACACTAATACAATTATCTGAGGAGACTCCCCTTTGGAGCCTGCAGATGGTGTGCAATAGCTTTAAGCAAGGCCATAAACCCTTCAACACAACTTTTAATCCTGCAGTGACTGCACTGGGTAGAGGTGGTAAAATGCATTATGACATATGCAGACTGCCTCCCTGGCCTCTTCAAGAGGAAAGCATTGTGTCTACCCTTAACTAGGGCAAGCCGGTGTTTATCTCTGCCTAAACCAAACGCAGCTCAGCTGCCTTTTTTTTTTTTCATATTAGAATTAAACAACTAAACATTTTAATAGCAATGAATATTCTGAACATTTAAAAGATTTTGGTTTTTTTCACTGTCACATTACATTTTTAAACGTTTTCACTAAAAAAATGAAATTGGTAAATTGCCACAGCTCCAGACTCACTAGGAAATGCAAGATCTTCGCAGCACAATGCAGGTTTGTCTTGCCACTGAGATTTGTGAGACTCGGGTAAGAAATGAGATTTAAAGCAAAGTTTTTCACAGGAAAAATATATACAATAACATGCACAGTGCCAAGATCTCCTTTTTGCTTTGCAAATGCTCTGGAGGCACATTCACACTTCACTGAGCCAAGTAATTTCTTAAAGTGATTGGATGAGGGTTTGAAAAACGTGCAGACTGAGTCCTAACAAGAACAGTTTAGGTTTTATGACTGTGAGCCACCTGTGAGCTAAAGGGACAGAAACCATCTAAAAACTGTCAAGCTGAGGGTTAGGTTTCCACAATAAGCTCTGAATTACCTTTAGTCAGCCTATTAAGCTCACACTGGCTATTCTGCAGCAGCCCCACTGCAAATGCCATGGGTGTGAAAAACAGCAGATGGTTAACGGGGGTGGAAAGCTATACACATCGTTAGAGAAGCATGGAAAATTCAGTGCTGGCTACAAAAGTCACTAGACAAGGGCAGCTGTAAACAGCTAGGTGAAAAGAGGTGGGAGGGACGTGTGGTAGCTGCTCTGTATAAACTGCTGCTATTTCTTTCTCAGAAGCCATCAGAAAAGTGCTGAATCAATCACATGTGAACTGACCATAAGGTGCAACACTCTCAAGTATTAACACTAAAGGTGGTTTTCCATTGTGCTGGAGGTTCCAGCTTTAAGCAGCACCTTGGATCTGACAAAGAGATCATGTAAAGACCCTGAGGGAGACTTAAAAAGCAAACCCACTTGCTTTTTATGTGTTGTATATGCATGACCGTTAAAATCCCAGCTAAGTGATTACTTATATCTATAACTGACATACCAATATGCTGAGGATATGTGCAGTACAAATGCAGTGCTAAGCCAGGAGGCCGAGGCAGGAAAGAAAGGAAAGTCAGTACGGCCCATCTTTCACTGCACTTCTTACTTACGAAACTTAAAAAACCCTCTGACCTCAAACAGAAATCATGACATGCAATTAGATGACCAAGAGAGGATTTTTTTTCCTGTTTATCCCAACAATTTACAGTATCTTTAAACAGGAGGGAGTATCATTTCCAACCAACTCAATGGACATAAATAACTACACCTCCTAAGATATCTCACAATGACTTTTGTTTATGGTTAAACAAGGTAATTATTGTAGAATTGGCAGAACATGGAAAACTGAATTTTGGTAAAGAGTGAGTAGCAGATACAAGTTGGGGTAGGAAAGCAGCTAGAATCAAATCATGAAAATCATACCATCATTTTTCATATTCAGCAGTGTTGTGACTCATCCTGTCAGGGATTCCATCCTTCTGTACTTGGGACAGCCACCCCAACTATATTTTACAAGGGAGCCTTCTCCCTCCTCTTTTACCTTTCCATGGGCAGGCTGAAACACTTTTCACCTCCAAGTCAAGTAACCTGTGGCTAAGCTCTCTTGCATGTATTGTGTCTGTCAAAAATCAGCAGGAGTCAGTGTAACAGCAAACAAAAGGGACACTGATACCTCTGATAAGCAATCTCTTCTGCCACCAGAGGTTGGGGTTGGAGCCACCATTTCCCCCTCCCCTCCATATACAGTTTAGGCGGATGGCATTCACTTACCATACAAACACACCTGGCCATGTCAAAGGAGAACATAAACGACTATAGTGAGAGAAAAGAAACCACAAATGCTTTTCAGTTTTATTCTTACTGGGAGGGTAGTGGCATCCTGACATGTCACATCATCCAATGAAAACTGACAGGGACTTTTTCAAGGCTCCTAGCTCATCTCACAGTTACGGTACTAAGTCTCGGAGTAATCTCAGCTTGGCTTGTTCAGCCTGCAGACATGGCATTCCCAATTCCAGATAGTTTCACTGGCTCAAGACTAAAGTAATCAGTACTAACAGAAAGGGAAAGTAATCAGATGTGAAACACAGACCATATGATGAGCGATGTGTCAGGCTGGTACTACACAATATTTGTACAGACCAGTCAGAAATGAGTATTACAAACAGAGCTGGAAAATAGTAATAGTTAAAAACACGACTGAATGCTTTGAACAGGTTTCCCAGAACAGAGGAAGTCTGTTCAGAAAAATAATGTAACAGTTTCAAAAAACAACAACAACAACCAACCAAAACAAAAAATGCCTCTAGTGACCTTTAAATCAGCTTTTCCATTGGATAAATATATTTGAAATAGTCGTACAGTTCACAGTGGCATAAAGTTCTCTGATTGCTTGAGTGCTTGAAAATATCTCATCAGTAAAAAAATACCAGAGCTGGGGAAGGAAAACCCTCTCTCTGAATTCTGTACATGGGCAAATGCACAGGTTTTGGCAGGCATCAGGTCATTGGATCAATGGGAAACTGGCAGCATCACAGGACTGCAGATCACAAGTCAGGGGATGGAGGATAAGAAGAGTAGTAAGGCCCATTTTCCTGCAATGAGAACAGAATAAGCAGTTGAACAAAAGTCTTCTCCAATACACTTTTGTGCAATAATGGTAACACATAGACAGAAATAATTAGGTACTCAAGGCTTTGTCTTTCATAAGAACGGTGACTGCCACAATTCACCCAGGAGAGGAGTGTGCTGGTAATCAGGCAAAAATGGGCCTTAGTTTTGCCTCTTGAGCAAAAGGCACAAGTTAAACTTTTGTCATGAAACCAAAGTTGTGATGCAAGGGAGACATGAATGCTGGCATAGCAAATAACTCATGACAAAGCTGCTAATGCATATACACAGCTCTGGCTACTGCTTTGTAGTTATATCACATCCTCTTTGGAATGATTTTGCCAATGGAAACCATATTCATTCCATCATTCGGTCAGAGATCTGTGGTAGACAGGAGAAGAGGTTGAGGGTTTGACACAAAGGCAGGGCATCCTCCTATGGTTCCATTTTTCCCAGGTGTTTTGTTTGGTTTTTTTATCCTTTTCCTGCATGCTTGTTAATATGTGGTGACAGAGAAGATGAAACACAGATGAAAGTGATTACAGTCAGTGTAGGGTATATGGCAGGTATGGAACAAGAATATTATCTTGTCCACAGACTCTTAGTGTGTTATGTTACAGTTCTTGGCTTAAGGAAGGAACTCTGCCTCTTATGCACATAGGAGACTGCTCTAATGGGAAAGCATCCTGCTTCTTAGCCAAGGCCCCTGCTTGGGCTGATGTAGACAAAAGATTAAGAGAATCATTACTCAGGGAAGAACAATTAGACTCTCGAGGAACCTTCTCCCTGTCTTCTCCACATTCTTACTAGGTGGAAGTCAGTCTCTTTAACGCTCTCACAGAGCAGAATGGGAGAGCACAAGAGTTGCACTTAGGAACACAGACTCATGCTGGCCACATGCAATCACTTACCCTGGCATCATACTCGAGGACAAAAGGGGGAGATCGATCTGTTCTGGGGGTATGGCTGCGAATAACTGCTGAAGGCTTTCCACATAGTGGATTTTGTCCTTTAGCCCTGAGACTGTAAAGGTTGTGAAAAACCATGCTGAAACCTGAAAATAAATCCCAACAAAACCAAATTAACATGGTGCTGTTTCAAAACCTTCAAGATCAAAATAATGCTCTATAGTTAAACAGGCCTGAGTTAAACTTGAAACACTAATATCGTCACAATAACACCTTAAGGTCAGGAAGTACGCACTGCTGACTGCTGGCAAACACCGTATTGTGAGCTTTCAAGCTAGTGTTTTCTGCCCAGCTACCAGTTTAAGGTCCCTTTCTACTGTTCAAGAGTGACAGCCATTCTGCTATTTAACTTCAAAAAACATCAGTTTAGCCAGCTTTTTGACTCTGTCAGAAGCATTTTCAACCCTTTACATTCAAGTTTTCACAGAACGGCAATGAGAGGGAGAGAAAGCTTTTCAGCTGTTCAAATGTTCCATTGAAATCTCCTTTCTGCTTTGGATTGGCTGAGGGAGTGTGTCCTTTTATTTCATCACCTTTTTTATCAAAGTCTTATCAATTTACCTCTACGAGAATAAGCCCATCATCTTATTCTACAAGATTTTACTTTAAGTATTCACACCTCTCTCTCTCTTTTGGATATAAATAGGATAAGGAATCTTTGTTTTGTGAAGACCACTAAGACACCACTGATACTTCTACAACTTCTTAAATATTCCTGTTTAGACTGACTGCACAAACTTTACCATTTAAACCTACCTTCTCCAAAATTAAGCACTGTATTACTTCTTGTTTATTTTTTATCTTGTCTTTTCCTGGCAGAACGAAGGGAAAGAAAAAAACTGCTCTATAGGTTACAAATGCTCCTATTAGGGACTACTCACATGGTCCTAGGCACCCAGCTCTTGCTGACCCATCTTGAGCAGAGGGGGCTGGACCAAGAGACCTCCCTTACAACCTGGACCATTCTGCCACTCTGTTGGATAGTTTTACTTTGAGTGCAGTAAGTTAACAGAAAAGAAGCAACATCACAAGAAAAGCCATGAGGGAAAGCAAGAGCTTAAAATAAACCAAATAAACCAAAACATTAGGTCAATAAAAATTATCTGTCTGAATAGAACATTTAAAGAAAAAGTCAATCCTTAAAAATTGTCCTGGAATAACTCTGCTGCCTCCCTCAAAACCAGCATATTTTAATGAGAAAAGGACAATGAAAAAGTGAAAAGGAGGTAAAGAACAGGACAGAACATTGAGATCAGTTCTCTATTTTAAGGGCAGAAGTAGATATTTATGTTAGCAGAAAGCAGGGAGACAGATTATTACTGGCATCCATTATTCACTATATTTTTCTACTAAGGTCTCATATGAGTGACACTAGATGACAGTTTAATGAATGAAAAATACCTTCTCAATCTTGTACCAAAGTAGCATGCTTTTCAAGGTGTGTTATGAATGACAATCATTAAACATAATTGCTATGGATGTTTAATGCATAAAAGCCTAATAGGGAATATTTTTGCAGCCATCACAATAATTGCTATTGGGAAAGGTGGTTTTTCCCACCCTGCCTCCCTCTCAGTATACAATCTACTGCAGTTTGAGACATCTTACCCAGTAACATAGAAAGAAGGGAGAGAGGGAGAAATGTCTCTGGAGAACTTCCCTATTACCTCCATTCCTCATAATCACAGGTTATTGAAACAGAAATACAAGAGCAGCTATTTCCTTATTGGTAACTGGACATGAAAATTTAAATTATACCAAATCCCTAGCTAATACACTAAAAGCAGAGTAAGTTATACCAGAGCAGCCAAAGTTAAAAATCTAGACATCTGCTGAAGTCTTCCTTCATTTTTCATGTCCCGATGTCCTGAATAAAAGGCTATCAGTATTCTGCCAAGCTATAAAACCACAGCTAAAAGTATCAGTTGTCTCCCACAGAAAACCAGCATAACACAGATTAGCTGTGTCACTAATGCCTTAACTTGGTCATATCTCAAACTTACTAAAATCTGGGAAATTTTATTGCAGTTGGAAGGATCTTGCACAGAAAAAAGACAAAAGTGATTTGTAACAACCTTTACATTGGCATCTGATCTCCAGAAATTGCTTTACAGGACTGTTACAGAAAAAACAAGACAAAAATTGTTCACAACAAATACGAAGATTATGATGATTATGAATATCTAATCTGAGTATTCAGGCATATTTCAGTTTTGAAACATTCTTGATTCACAGCCAATTTCTGAAAACAGAATTTCTCTGGATGAGACTGTTTCAGATCCAGCCACTTACGCATCAGCTCAGACCATGAGCTCTAAAAATGTTGATTTGGAGCGTTCTCAAAGAGAGCCAAGAGGATTCATACAAAAATGGCCCCAAAAGCCCTTTTTTTATATATCAGCAGCTATAGCAATAACTAGAAGAAACACATTTACTAGCAAGATATGAAGGAACTTGTGATGGCATTTCATTGGGTATCTTGATCTAAGGCCTGGCAGTGAAGTGTTCACACAACAAGGGCTGCTGCCAGCCTAAAAAACTTCTGATGCCTGTTTCATCACAGGAACAGTTAAATTTCAAAAGCACAAGAGAATCTAGGATTAGTGTACAAAAACGGACTGTCCAATGACATACCCTGCTTCAGTTACTCTGTATTTTAGGATAACTAATGAACCCTCCTCCCTGCATACCAAACTCCATGAATTCTAGACAGGCAATTATCCTCAGAAAAGACATATGCAACAGTGTCATATCTAGAAACCAAACAAAGAGTCACTGTTGGCAACATAAAGCACACTGAGAACTATGATGCTTTTCTAGGGGCTTTTGAGTTTCCAAAGAGCCATGAAGAAAAGCCTCTTGATCCCTTTTAGCCCATAAATAAGCAAAAGTGACTCTAACAGATGGCAGCCATTCGCTGTGACAGGATTCAGTACTGCTGTAAAATGTACAGTTTATATCAGAGATTTAAGAATGAGATCTATGTACAAGGGTGATGTATTTGGGAAGTCACATGAATGCACAAGCCTTCCTCCTGCATCTGAGGCATGGGGTATTTTCCACTACTTCTAGGGAAAGGAGTCAGTGCTCCAAACAGGAAGATGAACCTGCCAAACATTTTTGAAGAAATTTGAAGCCCTTGAGCTTGCAATCTTTCATGGTGAGAAGAGCTCTGAAATTGCCAAAAAACAAGGAGAGAGAAAAATCATTCCCTCTTAGTAGCCACCTTCTTCCCCACGCTTTCTGCTGCATATTCCCCATCATGTCTCATAAGCTGATAGTCCACGCAACAGTCAGCAGCAATCCTACTGCCTTCAGTTAGAAAAAATATTGGCACAAAGACATGGATACACATTCTCTTTTGCCTCCAGCTGTGCTGCCAGAATAGGATACAAACCAATACTATTTCCAGCAAGTTAGAGAACTCTGTGTCTCTCACCCTCCCTGCTTCCCACCACCATCTGCTTCCCTCACAGATCTGTCAAGTCCCACTGCAGTTTCCAAAGGGACAGACAAGATGGTAATAGACACCAAAAAACCATTTCTCAACCAACTAGAAATGTATGGGAAGAGAGGAGGGGGATGAAGTGCTGCTGAGAATCTAAAATATTAGTACTTCCTGACTTCAGCTTTTCCACTCAACTTTGTGACCTTAGTAATGTTCTGGGCCAGCTCCTACATTTTCAGGAGCATCAGAGCTGGAAGCTCTAATTCTAGCACGCAAGACCTCAGATCTGTACCCTGTGGGAATAATTAATATCCTAACTGAAACTGGAAGCTATGCTGTTGAGAAGCCTCAGCCTTATCTACATAAAAACAAGGAAGCTCCAAGTCTCATGGTGTCCCAGCTGTGCACACGCAAAAGAAATGACTCTCTAGAAATTTAGCAGTCAAAGAAATTCTTTCTGAACATGTGCAAACAGATGTTTTTTTCCAGGCATATAATTTTCTTGAATTTGATCAATGTCAGCAAAAAGCAGAATAAACACAGAGGTTAATCTGAAGTGAACATGGAGGATCACATTTCTAACTGTTTTAATAGGACAAACAAAAATTTTAGAAAGGGCTGCTGCTGGCAGTTCGTCTGAAGTACTCCTGCTGCTGCAATATGAGTCGTGGGTATGAAGTACAGCCGGGAGCCAGCTCCATGTTCTGTTGGCCTACACAGATCATAGCCAAGGGTAACATCTTACTGGCATGACGAATTCAGTTTTTCATCTCCTAAAGGCTTAACAGGATTTTTCTGCACTCTATTCAAGGCATTCTTCCCATCTTTCTTTGCTACTCTACACACTCTAATCCAGACTAATCTCACTGCTGCTTGACACGCTGCCCTCTGCCGAGACCAGGGCAGCTCTTAAGTGATCTGTAGCACCCGTGTGATATCCCTTGTGGGGAAAGAAAAGGTGAAACACCCAGAACATGAACTACACAAAAAATTCCCAGAGCTTTTGGTCGTGGTTTGTCACCCTGCCAACCACACAACAGCAAAAAGGACAAAATGTTTCTCTTCGAAAGAAACAGGACCCAAAGCTTCCACCTCTTTCTGTTAAGAGCACTGACAAAACAGGGCACAGACAGCTTGCACCCCACCGGGGTTCAGCTTATCACAAAGGCTGGAAGACTACAGCTAGATCAAAGGTGGGGATGAATTTCAAGTTCTGACTGTGGATCCAGACGATACTGCCTCATTTGGAAGTCTTATATATATATACCTCCACATTCCTTATACTACAGGCTTGAATGCTACTCCACCAGCACACAAAATGTACTTTTGTTTTGTACTATTTATCTCACCTTTGAACGAAATGTTGGGTGGACAAAATACAGTGCCTTCAAATTCCTCTTGTACCTGGATTATAGAGAGAAAAAAATATTTACAAGTGACTTCTAATTGAGCTCACCTACACAACCCAACTGTCAAAACAGATAATGTTGCTTAAGTGCCTGTGATGTAGTTTTAAAAAGTTAGATCTAATGTAAGGGTAGATACCAAAAATTAAATGTAAAGGTAAAAGAAATGAAAAAAACCAAAAAAAAGCAGCAAAGCAGAATGCTTATTTTTCAAAGACATCACAGCCTGCAGTCTTTCAAGTGGACAGTGAAAGGAAGTTAACGACAAATTATGACTGCCAGTGTTACCCAGGCCTCTTCCCTTACAACTAGCAACAGAATTCAACAAAGCCAGGCTCCAAATGCTCCAGCTTTGGATACTGACAGACAATACAACCAGTGTACCTCCCTAGCAGCTCCAAAAGGGAGACTGCAGAGGACAGAACTTCTGGTTTAATAGATGGTTTGCAGAAGGAAAGAAAACAGTCTTCCTTTTTCTAGCCTTTGTTAGTCATTTAGGTCTTTGTCCCAGCAAAACTCTCTCACAAATAAACGGGAAACCACATACAGGGAATAACAAATATTTGCATAGCACAGTGGAAGACCAGAATGTGTTCTTCTCCTATTGACACTTACTTGGCATCAACAACATCATAGAGTTTCTTCAAGAAATTAGAGTCTAGTTGATTGTAATCATTTGTGAGCGTATGGAAGTACACCAGGACATATTCCTTCACTGCAATATGATCCATGACGTGGATGAAATATAGGAGAGCCTGAGATAGAAAGAAATGAAATTTATATTTGCAAAGAACCCTTCCACAGTTGCATTGCATCTTAATATGCTTCCTTTAATTCATTTAAAAATCAGGAATCACGAGACTGGATGGCATTATGTTTCAGCTACAAAAGCAAGGCCAACTTGCTTTTGCTTCCAAGTCTTCAACTTGACTGCAGTAACTTGGATGTCTTTTTTGCCTATCTGACATCACAGATGGAGATAAATTCTTGCCGTTTCCATGAAAAACTAATTTGACTCATTACATTTCACTCTTCATGTCTTGGCAGTTACAGAAGCAGGGCAAGTCTCTTCCTTGTTGAGAAGAAAAAGGAATCCATATTAGCCCTATTTTTTCTACAAGTAGACCAATACCTAATTGAAAAGTGTCACCCCAAAGCACATGTAGCTTTGTAAAGGAATACATACTTTTATCTGCCTATAAAATTAGTTTCTATGTAATATCTTTTAAGTTTTCTACAGATAATGTTTCTAGTATTAACATTGAACTATTCTTATAATTAGCCTCTTACATCCTGAACACTTCACATGCAACCTACACAACTCTGGTTTTACAAAAGCCTTACCTTTTCCATGTCTATCAATGTTACAGGGATATTCCTTCCAACCACCACCATCACTGTGCGGCCACAGTTATCTACACCTATAAAAGAAAGGAAAATATGTCTCAGCCTCTCTCCGTCATGCCAGGTTTTGGAGTTGGTCCCTTTCAAACCAGGGAGAACCAGCCACAGCTTAGAATTTTTGCAACACATCTGGTTTCCAACAGAGGAAATATGCTTAGAGTTACTGCTCTGATTATACCACTATTTATTCTGATGCAAAAATGCATGCATCACATCTGAAAAGTTAAGTTTTAAGGACTGCAATTTTATGTTGTGAGTATACTCCATATTTACCTAAATATCAAGTAATAACATGGTTTTTACTTAACAAAAACAAACAAACTTCACTTGGAGTTCTACCACTGAAGCAAAGTTCTTCAAAGAAACCAAGCTCTGAAATCCAATGCACTGATTCCCAGAGCACACTTTATGGCCCTCCTGCAGCCCACAGAGCCTTGTTTAAGGCAAACAAAAGAACTTAAATTTGCAGCTACTGAGCAGAAGGTATCACACAGCCTTGGTATTTGCACAAATATCAGGGTAAGCGTCTGGATTTTCAGGAGGCCAAAGATATCAGCCCAAGTGTTGAACAGACGTTCTCTGCAGAAACACAGCTATGCTTTTGACACCTGATTACTTGCCTGTTTCTTCCCATCATTGTGCAAAGCAGCAATTAGCCATTGGATCTATGGCAAATTTTATGTCCAAGGATGATGCTAACTAAAGAGTAAAAGTGAACCAGTGAGTTCAGGTTCCCCACCTCTGCTTCCCAAGCTTCAAAGACCTTGCAGCTGTTTTCTTCCACTGAACCCTCCACTGTGTTGTTGAATTCCTCCCTAATCTCCCCATCTACTGAATTCAAGGTTGCAAGATGTGCTTCCCATGGTACTGGGCCACCAGTACTAGGAGAGGCATACAGAGGAGAGCAACACATAACCTGATCTGAGGGAAATAAAGCAAGTAATATTGTTCAGGAGAGCTTTCTTAAAAGTTGCTTTAGCAACTGCCTACACTCTACACTACCCATCTGAAAGCAACATTCATTTCTTTGTAACAAAACGGTGTAGGTAATTCGGATCAAAATAAGAAGTATCTCACACAGAGCACCTTATGCACTGGCTTAATCTAATAGTACTGATTTACATTTAAAGCTACAGTAATTCAGGATATGCATGTATCCTCAGTGTTAAAGCCAGAGCAGTTTAGAAGTTTACCCCACAGTCTTTCACATCAATCAAGAGAGAAGTACTGCTTTACTGCAGAGGTGTTGCCTAGTTCTTGTCCAGCCTTCTATCTTAACAGCATGACCTACTGTAAATGCAAGTCCAAAGAAAATACTGTATTTTGTATTTTTACTTTAAGGTGATATACCTCAGTCATCAGTACCCTGAACTTACCTGTTTGGTACAAGGCTTTGAGAGAAGCAATGTCAGAGAGGTCTTCAGCTCTTGCCTGACACAGCCAGCGATTATAACTAGAAAGTTAAAAACATCTGGTCAGATCTAATCCCCCTTTGGACTAGTATTAGAATCCTGAAAAGTTATATGGGACAGGAACAACAAAACAAGCTTTTTCTGACTGAGCCCTCTCTACAGTGTGGTTTTCCAACCTATGGAGCAACTGTCAAGTTGTTAAAGAAAGAAGAGTTAAAAAAATAAAATTGAGTGCCTTATTCACATACCTAGTGATTTTCACTAGGGCAACGAATACACATCAACTAGTCAGAATAGTGGCATTGCATTTGGGCTGAAAAGACCTCAGAGATTCATCCATTTAAATAACTCAGTGCTTAAAAGACAAAAAAATCAGAAAATGTCTTTAAAAAGTCCAGAAGTCAAACACAGTGACACAACAACCAGTGTCAAATATGGACTTTTTTCCCCCTTCGAGCGGTGTGCCTCATCTAACAAAACAAGCCAAACACCACGCCTCAAGGGGTCTCCACCATGGAATTAGCTTCTAAAGAAGTGATCAAGCACATTGGGGTTACCACAGCGAGAAAGTGGATACCATTTGATAAATAAAATAAAATGGTTTTGCTCTCTGCCCAGAGCCTCAGGAGTAAGTGAGCAGTATTGAAAGCAGGTGACTCCACTACAAAAAGTGGTGACAAAACAGTGACATCTTGTGGCAAATGGATAAGACAGCTGGCTGGATGCACCGGGTATGCAATTGGGTTTATCATGAGCTTCCCTTTTCCTCTTTTTTACTTGCTGGAAGATTAGGTTTTAGAGATAACAATGTCATCATAAGGGTTGGTCCTCTGAACAGCTAACTAACACGAAATATTCACATGGACAAGTAAATTCTCACTTCCTCTGATGCTGCTTTTGCAGTGCTGCCTCTGACAACTGTCCCTGAAGGATGAGGCGTCTCTGTTTATCAACGTCTCCCTCCATGCGGGCAAAAGCATGGGAACCAATGAAAGACAAATCTGCCTCCAGACCCTCTTCATCTGAAGCATCTGCAGTAGAAATAAAGGCAGTGTAAAACATTCGAGCAGCATATGGGACAGCAATGCTGCTAATGAATTGCTGTATATCTCAGTGAGCCAACACAGTCACCATGCTACTGACTAGCACAAAAACCACAGCGTACCATGATGTGGCTCTGATACCTCACCAGTACCACTGACAGATTAGAGCATGTAACATGAACTAGACTCCCTTGAAAATGCTGGTTTGCTTGAAAACTAACTGGGAAGTTCTAGTCATCAGCTTGTAACAAAGGGATAAGGGTTAACTCTCCTGAAAAATAAGGTCTGGAGTGAGTGACATGAGCTTTGCAGTTCTCCTACTTGTCACAGAGGGAAAAATAAGTATGCAGAGGCACAGATGCTGCAGTTTTATTCAGTGTAGAAGCTGTACTGCAGAAAGGGCTAACTCTTTTTTTTTTTTAATATCATTGACACTTCTTGAACAAATGCTGTAGAGCCGGTGGTAATCTGAGTTTACGTATTTTTATAGTATTGTTTACAACATGACTGTGTAATGAAATATAAGAGCACAGGCTCACTTGCTGGTGACAAAACCAGCATGCTCCACTGAATTTGATGTCAGCAAGGAATATTGCTAAGGCTTCTAGCACTACCTCTCTGGGCAATCTGGATGGGAACTGAGTTTCCCAGTTTTAGCGTGACAGGCTATACTAGGACAAGAGTGCAGGATCCCACTAAACAAATTCACTCCTACATATGCAAACACAGTACCTTCACAATGTATTAGCTACTGTTTGAACACCTCACACTGATCAGCTGTAAGTATCACTCTAACCAACAGGCTGGACAGGGGATCTGGAGTCTGATCAGCAGAATAGGTACATTAGGTATCAAACTGTGAACAGGAAAATTGTCTGTATCCTCGTTGCATATTCAGCTTTAACCCAACATGCTGTGCAAAAGCAGAAAATCTTTGACATTCATTCCAAGTTGTCTGCTTTTGATGGTTTAAGGCTTTGCTTGAAGAAGTGTAAAACTTTCACATCACTGCTTAATAAATAAGGCAGAATGTGCCTGCTATGCCCCTTTATGTATCAAATTGCTTTGCTATACATATCTCAATCCTGACATCTAGGCAACCTCTTTACAAAGAGACTTTCACCGAGCTTTGATACCCATTTCCAAACTCTGATCTCTGGGTTGATCTAGTTCTTCTATCTTTTAGGGAGTTTCTGCTACTTTTCACTGCACATCTACTGGTTTGATGCACATCAATAGAATGGTATGATTTGAAACAACATTTGTTAACATATAAGCAACACTTTGCTAGTATACAAGACAGACCATTAACTGGGCCAGAATGCCTTTTTCAGTTAGGGGCTGCATGAGATTCTGCAAAACCTTCAAAGATTCTAATCACTTTGGAAGAAAATTTACAAAGGAAGTGAACTACCCCACCTCTCCCCATAGGAAAGACAGAACAGCTCTACTGCATCCTCTAACCACACCATGGCAGAAAGCAGCTCTACTGCATCCTCTACACAATATGGCAGAAAGCAGAAGTTACTGCTGTGGAACACATGAAGCCAATGAGGCAGCCTGGCAACCAGAATCATTAAAACCTGCCTTCAGTGAACTGAGCTAGGAAAACATCTCTCTGCTTCTGTTTCTTTTTTTCCCAATGATTTTCACACAGAGATACTTATTCCAAACTTCAGTTAAGGACTCACCATCTGGAACACCCGGCTTTTCCGTAATCCTGATCTGCCGCTCTGGCACTACAGGCTCCCCTTCCGCATTGCCAATATCTGCAGGGAGGTAAGGCAAGGATTGTATCTCTTCTTCCAGCGATCTTGGAAAATATAGAGGCAGCAACTTCTGGTAAGTGGCCTACAAATAAGAAAAATGCGTGAAGGGCCTATCATCACGCATCCTTGTTCTTCAGTTAAACAGCGTCTGCCTTTGCGGCAGGGAACCTGAACACAGTGTGGGTGTTCTGCCCAGGAACTGCCATTAGCAAGCCCAATGTACAAGAGAGGTCAATAGTCAAACTGCCAGCATCTCTCAGAATACAGATCATTAAATGTCAAGTTTGCTATTTCAACAAGTCAGCAAGCAGCGTTTAAGATGTTTGTAGGTGATCTGTAGGCAAGCTGAACTGGCCCTCTTAAAGTACGTTTGTGTAAGGAGGAAATTTTGTATGAGGAATTTCCTCTCTGGCTAACAGATATCAGTACTAGTACTGGTTCCTGTCCATGAGTCAGGAACATGGAAGCCAGAAGCAAAAAGTTTCTGAACATGTCCATAGTGACTGCTAAGAGCATAAACGGTACTGGAAAAGAGACTGTGCTAGTAGGGGACAGAAGGATGCTATAAGACCAAAAGTCTATGCGATCTGAGGTGGAAATCCAAATCCAGCTTTACAAGGCAGGAGTTAATACTGCTGCAGAAAAGATCAAACGTGTATGAATTTTGGTGGAATGAACACCAAGGAAGTACCTCTTCAAGTTCAGAAACAGCAAACACCACCTTCTCCAGAGTCTCTCCATGAATCTCCAGAAACCTTCTAACTGTGCCTGTAAGGAAGATTAAATGTAGTTAGCAAAACAGGAGGAGGAATCTACACGCACAACTAAAAGTGAAAAACTCAGAGGGCAGAGGAGAGAGCCATCAGTACTCATACAAACTTGTTCCAGGCTGTAGGCAAGTGTGGATTAAGTGGTAGTTTAACGCACCAAATGCGGCGCAGGCCATATTGGAGGTTCCATCTCCGCTCACTCCCTTTAGAGATAGACACAAATGCAGAAAATGTCTCTCTTTGATTTTAACTTACTAGGCATTTCTCAGACTGTGCAATGTGATTCTATTGCCCTGAAAAAATGAAGACAAATCCTTCCCTTAGAGAGACCTGTGCAAATTGCTATGACCTAGAACAAGTCACTGTGCCCTAAGTTATCAGGAAAGCAATATAAGTAAGCTACAGCAGAAGGTGGTCTGAGATAGGGTCAGCAACACAAAATCTCTGGAGTCATCTAGGCCAGAGAGGCATACAAAAATTATATTTGTAAATCATGAGAGAAAGTGTCCAAACAAACTGGTTAATTCAGCAGTATTTTATCAAATAGCACATAGTTCTATAGTGATAACAGAAGACAGCAATGAAAGAAGCTCCTCTACATAGAATACCCTACTGGGAGTTCAAGAGACAGCAGAAGGAAATAGAGAGCTATTTTCAAATACTTCCTGAACCAAAATTCATGTATAATTGGGTTGACCTGCGACATTATTTTACATAACAAATGCAACCGTGCAGTTCCACGGCAAACAGTTTTGAATGCATGTGAGCAGATCTTTTCAGATGTCTCACTCAACAGGCAGACAGCAGAGAAAACAACGGACCAATCTGTTTCTCCAGCACCAGCATCTCTGCTAAACAGAGGGTAAGAGAGATTTCTCCAGTCAGCTTGCACAGCAAGAGGAAAATCCACTCCCTCCATCTGCAACAACTTTCCTATCATGCAGTACCACCCTGCAGGAAGCCCCAGGTACTGGGTGGTGAAAAACAGACAGAAGTAGGTCAATAGAAATGAAAAAAAGAGAAAAGTAAGAACAAGGTGAGTTTAATATTATTGTCTTATTTTTGTCAGCCTAGGAAATGTTCTGATTTCTTTTCAGTAGTCTTCATTTTTTTCTTTAATACAGTTTCCTTTTGAACACAAGGAAATTTGAAAACTTTTAGCAATGATTTTTAGTAAGGAGTTCCATAAAACAAATAGCTAAAGCATAAAAACCATTTCCCTTGTTTGCTCTGAACCCGATTCATACTGGATTTGTTTGGTGGTTCTTATACTGGGAGACAGTGAACAGCTGATTCCTATTCACCATTTTCATGCCACTTATGAATTTATAGACATCTCCCACACTCCAAGTTCAGTGTATTCCACTCTGAAAGAGACTTTAGCTTACTTTGCTATTTCTTGCCTTTTCCTATTCTTGTTGTCCTCCTCAACTTCTCTCTCTAGTATATTCTTTTGGAATGTGCATCTTTAAATGGTGAACAGAGCACAGATCTCTTGCATAACATTCTTAATTTTGTTGTGTCTTACTTAGTTTGCTGTTTTGAACTCCTGTGAGCCCGTGTTTCCATGGAACTATTATAATCTCAATGTTTTGCTCCCCGAGGTTAGCCCATCATTTTGCATGTGAAGGCAGAAGCGCGTAGGAGTAGGTCAGCAGGGAAAGAATATCACTTTACATTTGGATATGCTGATGACACTCAAATAGCAGATGAAATTCACTGTTGCTTGAGGTCTGTCTATAGCTATTCAACAGTAAGGCCTTTTTTGCTATTTTTGCTATTCTGCCATCTTTGCTATTCTGAACAACTTTCTATTACCAGCAAATTCTCTCACCTGACTGTTCAGCACCTTTTCAAGGCTATTCATTAATATGTTGAAGCCTGCAAGTTCCAGCAACATACTCATCAATCCTTACTGATGACCTCCCAACAGAGAAAGGTTCACTCATTTTTAGCTTCCATTTCCTGATCAACCACACAAGGCCTTTTTACCCCCTAACAAACTACAGACCCCTAAAAAAAGGCTTCCCCATATCAACAGCAATTTGTCAGAGGTACGTGACCTGCTTAATACTTTTACAGTTTATGTTTCTTTCCAGCAAACTTACGCAGTGCTATGTGGGTTGCATCCTCCAAGGGGTAGCATCTTTTCACAGAGTTAATGACACAAAATCCTACAGAGCACATTGCCTGTTCCCTGAAATCCAGAGAAAGAGACACAAATGAACAGACGGTCAGATGTGAACAAATGCCTGTCAGCATAGTAGGTAACACCAATAATTTTTTTCTCTGGCTCTATGCAGTAGTAACCCTCTTTCAGGTTTTGCAGGATTCTTCCCTGGCAAGATGTATATACACATGCCACTATTAAGCAGAGAAGGAGGGTACCATTAATTATTCCACACAGTTTCCTCTGGTGCTTGTTCTCAGGTTTCTCCTCCTACCTCAGCTACGTTGTTCTTGCAGTTTCTTGTATCCTAAATGAAGTTCTTCCCTCATGCTCCCTGCAATCCTTTCCAAATTACTTTCCTTCCTGTATAGGATTGACAGTGAGAAGAAGGAAGGGAAAAGAAGGTGCTCTGTATTGCAAACACTCCTTTGCTCCCTCACCTGACCTATCACTTGTTTTGTTAGAGGTCTGGACACAGATCAACATGGCTTACTCAATCCTACCTACGATTAGATAATCATCAGAATGGAGTGACACATACTTTAAAATCCGTAGGCTGCTTCCAGCATTGAGACACATTTTCAGAAGAGTAAAGCAGAGCTGTCAAGAACTCTCATCAGAGGATTTTGAGCAAACTCAGTTGGCAGACAATTTCACAAACATCCAAAGTTACTCTAGAAAACAGATTGACTGAAAGGCATTCTGTATGCAGAAGTATCAGAATTTTAAAATTGTTTTTAACATGTTTCAATCTGGCCCTGACTTTGCTTGTTACTTCTGAGGTAGAACAAAACGGTACATGCTAGAAACTTCAGCTGTAATCTTGATTATGAAACAGTTACTGTTGCACTGTAATGCACAGTCCAGCCCTGAAGTACTGATCTTCCCAACCATAAGACATTGCTAAGCATGTTTTCTGACATTGCTCTTGTTCAGGTATATTTTCTGACTGCTACCACTACAAGAGCTGTCACAGGAGAAGAACACAATACAGGAAAAGACACAGAAAAAACAGAAAAAACCCCAAACCTGTTACTAAAGAGGAAGTAGAAAATACCACTGATGAAAGAGGAAAAAACTGCAAACCCAGCTGCAGTAACTGTAGATGTACAAGTAACCTTACACCTTGACTTAGAATTTCAGGTTTCTTTTGTATGAAGGCAGAGAGGTCAAATTTATGAACTGACAGAGCAATCAGATCTGCCTATGGGTTTATCCCCATGGCTTCAGACAGACATGAAGCTGTTTCTCGGTGAGCTCATTTAAAGTTTTTTGCCGCACAGAACCCAATGCAATCCTCAATGCTGTTTCTCCTTTGAGTAACTGAATGCTGCACAGCTCTAGCTACACTGTTTGAGGACCTGAACCAGCTCAGATCTCTCTTCAACATTTTATCTACACCAAAGCACAGATAACAAAAGGCACCGAGCATACCATGAAAGTCACTAATGTCTTCAAGTCCTTAACCAAACCCGGCTTACACGAGAAGGTATGCACAGATGTTTGGCCTCTGCGCAGACCCGAGTTTCTAGAACAGATGTAGCACAGATGGCAAACCCTTGTGCAAGTTGTGGTGTGCTTACTTTACGAGCTGCAGGACATTGCGGTAACAGCTGTACAGAGAACTCTCAGCCGCTGTGCGATACCGGCTCTTGTACTTGGGTCCCACTGTGTGAATGATGAAACGTGCAGCCAAATTAAACCCTTTGGTGAGTTTAGCCTCGCCTGTCCTGCAACCTGAGAAAAAATAAAACACAAACATAAATGTTCATGCCATGGTAAGAAAGACAGAAATATTTGAGCCCTTGACTTCTTCAACTCAGACAATTTCACTTCATATATAAGTCAGTGTTTAGGACATCGAATACTATCCCTATCTCATGCCAGCTGCTTAGCATCATCTAGGCAGGCTGAGGAGATGAGAACTGTGCTCCTTCCTCTTCACTTTAAAACTATGCATATCAGGACAAACCAGAAGCTGCTGGAACTGTTGTCTTAATTGCAGTGCCTTAATTACAGACACAGGAAATAAATGACTTAATAATGTGCAGAGAACTGAAGCACAAATATACTAATATACAAATATACAGGCAGCAATAAAAGTCCTTCTGAATTTAACAACTTGTTTTTTGAGGAGACTGCTTTTTGGATAAAATTACTGCAAGTCTCCTTAAACAAACCAGTTGTTGGCAAGGCTATTAAAAATGAATAGATCAAACACTTGTTCCATTTATACTCCCAGAATGAGGTAGCTTGCTTTGTTTTGCAAGTTTTTTCCTGTCCACAAGGAACAGATATGATTCTCATGGAGATCACACTTAACTGACAGACTAGATGTCTCATCCCAAGGCAAGGAAATTCAAACGATACACTTAATTGTTCCATTCACAGCACCCTCTAGTTACACACTCTGGAAACAGATACTGTGTTTGAAGTCTGTTTTTCCTTCAGTGCATGGAAGAAAAGTCTGCTATAACTCCTCTTCTTCACTTAGTGGTATCTAGTCCACTCCAGTTCTGGACAGCCAGATATAGCATCAGTAATCTCTAACTACACTTATAGAAGATAACACTTCATACTTCCCAATGCCTTCTGCCTGGAGATCCCTGCAAAACTTTAACAACTAAAATGAGCAGTAAGTATTATTCCTGTTTAAAGATACGGGGGGAAATGAGCTGCACAAGTCAAGGTTTGGGGCAAAACTGGGAACAAAGTCAAGATCTTATTTTTTATCCCATGAGGTTTCAGACATTAGAATAGCTTTTCTCCAAGTTTAAAATGGAGACTCTGAATCCTCTACAAAATGTGTGTGGCAGAGAAAAAGCATTACTGGAGTTGGAAGACTACTGTGCATTGCTGTTACAGAAGGTCTTCATTAGACTGCAACAAGTTGATAGCCAAACAATAAATATTACTTTATCTGCAAGCCTACCCTAGGCTATAGTATTTCTGCATTAATCAAAACTAACACTGCTCCCAGGAACACATAAGGTAGCTGAGCCTTAAAGAAAGGCCAGGCCTTTGAAGGGTCAGCAAGTCACATGCTTTAAGATCATGATTTTTCTTGGAATCTATGAAATGTGAATATATACCAAGCAGTAGGAATAAAGCAGGAGAGATCTAACTGAAAATGCACCCATTTTGCAGCTTTAGAGCATAGATCACATATTTTTATTTTTTCAGCATAAACATTCTCCCAGGAAAACAATTTCAAGGCTAAATGGGAAAAGAAGGCATAAAGGAAGCAGAGGTGACAGAAGAAGCATAAACCAATTTTTTAACTAAGACTCTCCACCCACTTCTACTACCATGACAAATACATTTAGGGTACTCAAAAGCCAAAGCTGTAACCCAGCCTCGCCTTCCTCCCCCACACAACATGTCAGCAGGGTGTCACAGAAGAACCGATTTCCAAAAAGCTCTTGGCACAAGCTTGTAAGAAAACTGCCAGGTACAGGGAGTTGCGAACAGAATGCAGAATGCATTACACTCAGAGGACATCAGTGTCTTCACTGGGGTGGAGGATGCAAAACTACACATAATTCGGTATGTTAAAAGAGAATTTAAGAAGCTAAGCCCAGGAACTCCCTACAGAGCTGACAGATCTCAAACTTTAAGGACTCCTTGAAATGTTGTCCCTCTCTTCCCACCTCACAGTGCACACAAGAAACCCAATTTTATTTGGATTCTATAGTACCTACTGTATTTTAACAGTCATTTCCACTCACACAACACACTGAATTTTCGCTCTGCTATGAAATGGCTACTGTTCCTCTTGTTTTACTTCCATGTTACTCAAAAAAGGCAAGTTGAATCAGCAAAGCATAATTTTATAAGAACAGAGGATGTCTATTCATTTGTAGTTTAAGCTACAGAGTTTATCTTAGAAATATTATGCCTCTTCTGTCCATTTTGTTACTACATATGGAGACTGAGCTGTTACCCAACAGAGTGAGCAGTACTACACAGGGACTGGTCGGGTCTCAAAATTCAGCTCAGTACCCTAACTATAAATGTGAATTTTCACCTGTGAACCTTATTAGACTTCTGCATGACCTTGGATAACTATAAACTATTTGTTCCTCCCTTATTCCCTGTGCCTGTTAGATGAAAAAAAAGCTGTGTATTCTTAAATCTCACTGTCAGCCATAAACACTGTTAACAAAGAATCTAGGCAAACCTCATCCATTTCCAGAATAGCCTTGCATTAGGGCTGGTCTTGTAACTTTCCAATAAAGTAACTTCTCGTTCATAACAGACAAATGAACCAATCAATTTAAGCAGTCACAAGGACTTTAGACATGCAGTGTTTTATCAATTCATCTATTATTGTCATAGTTTCCCGAAAGACTGTGTGTATATTAATATCCTGAAAGAGGATACACAAAGTGTATAATAGAATCCACTTAATTTTTGCAATGGTGAACTTCAATTCCCATCTTCCACTGTGTAAACACACTGAACAGGATAAAAGCAAAATCTGAACATGTACAAGAGTGGTCCCTTGAGTAAAAGCTCTGATAAGCTAACTGCTCCAAGTGGCCTCAGATAACAATGGGAATTATTGTATCACCAAGTAAGGGCTCATCAGCTCAAATATTTGCCACAGATTTTCAATTATCTGTAATGTGAACAGCACAGAGAGACTAACTGGCATGTATTTCCTCCGTTTTTTTTCACATTAACACCAGCTGTTGCGGGGAGGGCTAAGCTGTACCTTTTTAGTTTACGCCCCAATCCTGATGCTTTGTACTAGGCAAGGGCAGTAGATTTCAATAAGATGAAAATGACTCTGGCCACTTACCTTTGAGCTTCTGGAGTTCATCCTTCAGGTCAGGCCCAGCATGCATGAATATACTTTCAGATACTGGATTCTTATCGGTGAGAGACTCATTACTGGTATTTACAATGGCCGTGCAGTTCAATAACGCGACATCTCCTTTCCTGAGGAAACAGTTTATTGGGGGCTAAATGTACGATTAGGCAGGATATTCTCAAATAAGTGCTGACAAGCAAGGAAATGCCAAGTTACAGGAAAAGCTTTAACAGTACTCCAGTGCCCACACAATGTAGCACACCCTGACGTGCTCACCATGCCGAATCATCCTTTGCCTCTGTCTGATGAAGACAGACTGCATGCAAACTGTCAGTCCCTTAAAAACTCCCAGCCTCGGCAGTAGCTTGGGGTTGTATGTAGAAAAGGCAGTGTTCTAGCTGTACGTAGGGCAATTCAGACAGCAAACATGCAAAGCAGCTGGTTAAACTGATGGAGTGTAATATGTTCCAAAAATGCACATATTTTCTCTCGAGGTAAGAGGACAACCCTTGTATTACATTACTTTCAAATTGTCAACAATTTTTTCATTGTACTTCTTTTGGGTTGCTTACACACTATCCAGGGCACCTTACTGCTGCTGTTCTTCCTCAGACCACTAGAGTGACGCTGCAGCTGGACAAGTTTTCTTTGCTTTTGTTTCCAAATTGTGAACCCACAATTCGATCATGTTCATTCTGCTGTTTAAGGATCAGACATGCAGAAGATAAACAAGGCAGAGATGCGTAAGAGACAGAAGAGTAGCAGAACTGACCTGCTTTTTGTCACAGCAGCAGCCATTAGGGATTTTGGGATCAAAGAGCATAAGAAGGGAAATAAAGATTCCCACGCACAGGGAGAGATTCAAATAATAGTTGAAACTGCACACATTTATTACAACCAAGCCCAAGTAGTAAGAGATATTTAACCTTTTACTCCTCTCTTCCTTTACTTAATTGGTTCAGGAAATCCATGAACAGTCCCATTTCCTGCATGTATTAACCAGAAAGAGGTTCCCTGAATCTGTGTCCCTAAGAAATCCTTTTCTCTTCATAATGATTAATTAGTTATTCTTCTGGATAGTAGGTTCACACATCTGAGTTACAGTAAATAAAAACGGATGGAGCAAGTTCATCTCAGCACATTGTACTTTATCAACAGATTTTGGCAGAAAACCACGGAGAAAAAGCACAGAATGTGGGGGAGGGGGAGGGCAGGAAGAACACAAACCACATGAAAGAAAGAAATACTGATTTAAATCAGAAAAGTGAAAGCGGAACAATGACAACAAATACAGAAAAAAGCTAGTAGACAGCAAGCGTATTTTAAAGAATTAAAAATCTCATATCAAAGTGCCCAACTAGGTTTTGATATTAAGCATACAGTATCATAGTAGGAAGTACATCTCCAGACTGCTGCATCAAGGACTGCCTATGAGCAAGCAATTTATAACCTGCGGTGGAGCAAAATCTCAGACTTGCAAATTTATACAGAACAAAAAGATTATTTTCTTCCCAGATCTGTAATGTCTGATTCGAGAAGAGAGGATTTCAAGGCTTTTTTCTACAGCAGTGATCATTATATGAGGCAATCAGATACTGCAGTAAATGGAAAAGTGATGACAGACACACCAGGGCCATATGGAACTTACCATAAGATTATTTTTTCGTTGATGTCTTTCCTGTATGGAAAAGGTGATCTAACATCAACTGGAGCCTTTCCAACAGGATTTTGGTGGGAGTCCAGCTGCTTGGCCTCATAGGCATCAGTCCAGCCTGGCAGAGTGTCAATATCCACAAACTGGGAAGGAGCACCCAAGGGATCCATGGGATGGAAACAACAATTCCCTTTCTCTGCTAACTTGTCACACTCCAATTCTCACTGGAGTCTTCCAGGTGCTTTAAAGAAAGAAAATCAAACCAGGTCACCAGCTGTTCACTGAAAGTAATTCTCCTGTGGAGCCAGACCTCTCACAAGACTGCAATGCAATTACAATCAGCAGAAAACAGAAAAACACTGATTTCCCACTCAGGTACTCCCTTTTTCTGTTTTGTTACCTGTAAGGCAATGCAAATACTCGCAGTGAGACACACCTTTTCCAATAGTGCAAGGTGAAAACACCCTCGCTCCTAAATTGGTCTAACTGGCTTGTAATCTTGCATTTTGGAAATAGTGACAACAAATTCCCAAGTGTAGAATGGACCTCAGTCTTCCTGAAGGGTGTTATTTCTTCAGCTAAACAAAAAGCAAATTTGTAGCAGGGTATGTATCATTTATTCCTTTAGAGAAATATGGCCAGGGCCATATTTGGGAAAAATAAAAATAAAGAAAAATACTCAACCTCCTAAACCACAACGCCCTCCCAACTACAAACTTTACAATAAACTCAGTGAAAACATCCTGCTTCCCCCAAAATCATAGAGCCCTTCAGTGAATCCTGAACCGCTGCAAACTAGACTTACTGTCACATAGTTCTTACAGTTGTGCACTCGGGCACAAAACCCCTTCACCCAAATAAGTTTTGCAAGAAAAGCTGTAAACCTGTACATTTGAACGCTGGCCCAGTGAATTTGAAGACTGAACGCCGGCATCTGACTGGGTTTTTTTAAAGCCTGAGATGACACTGGTTGGTAGATGAAGGCTCAAATGTGCCGATATGTACTTATCAGTTCAGTTTCAAGGCTACTACATTTTCATTGAGACTGCTAAAAGACAGTAGCGAATCACACTGGCACAAACATACCCACTGAATTAACTTCAGTTTTCCACATACACACATACTACTTAACCTTTTTCACAAGTTCATAATGAATAATAATTTAAAAGAGATTGCATCCACAAGGGGTAATTGTGAAACGTGAATCACAAAGCACGTTCATTAGCTAGGAGAAAACAACAAAGCAAAACAACCAAGCATCCAAGGGGTAATAAAGGCTGACAACGGGACAAAGACAGCTGTAGGAGCATCTAAACAAGATTTCTGCCACAAAGAGCTGGGAGAAGGGCAACGAGCAAAAAAAGGCGATGAGAAAGAAAGGCGATGAGCAAGAAGGGCAGAGCCGTTCCACCGGCTCCCACCAAAAGCTCATCCACAACGGCGGCTTCCCCCCTGACGAACAGCCAAAGCCAGAGGTCTGGGTAAGAGGCAGGAGGAGCGGGGCTGCTCCGGGATGTTTCCCCCACGCTCGGCGCCCGGGCCCTCCCGCGGCAGAGGCGGCCCCGGTGGGACAACGGGCTGGCAACGGGGCACAGAGCGCTGGCAACGGGGCACAGAGCGCTGGCAACGGGGCACAGAGCGCTGGCAACGGGGCACAGAGCGCTGGGAGGTCCCCACACCCCCAGGGCGATGTGCGGGGCCCCTGCCTGGGAGGAGGCGCTGCCTCTCTCGCCTCTCGCAGCCGGGACGCCGGCAGCGCTCACCGCCGGGGCCGCCGCCCGGCCCCACCCGCTCCCTGCCCGCGCTGTCCCCGCGCTGTGCCCCGACGGAACGGCGCGGCAACTCACGGGCAGAGCCGCAGAGCCGCCGCCAGCCCCGCCCGGACAGAGGGTCCCGGTCGGCGCCGGTCTGGCGACATCACCCAGGGAAGCGCCGCGGCCGCCGCGCCTTCCGCTTCCCTTCCCGGGCGGAGCTTCCCCGCCGCACTTCCCGCCGGGCCCGCGCTGACGCACTTCCAGCGCGGCGGGCCGGGAGCGCTGCACGTGTGCGGCTGCTGCTCCCTGCACCCGTTCCCTACACATTCCCTCCTTCCCCTCGCTCTCCCCCACCCCCAGTATTCCCGCCGCCATGGGGCTGACGCGGCAGTACCTGCGGTACGAGCCCGCCGCGCTCTTCGGGCTGGTGGCGAGCGCCAGGGGCAGCGTGGCCTTCGTGGCTCTGCGCGGGGAGCGGGGCCGCTACGTGGCCGTGCCGGGCTGCGAGCATGTGTTCGTGTGGGACACGCGGAAAGGAGAGAAGGTGCGAGCGGGGCCGGCCCGGGATGCGGTGCCGGGCTGGGGGGGTGATGGGTGGCGTGGCACGGCTGGGGTGCGGCGTGCGGGGCTTTTGGACCACCTGAAGCAGCGCTGTTTGTGTCACTGGACGGCATTTCAAGGGAGGAGACACCTCCACAGCTTCCCCCCCTCCTCTGTAGTGTGAGCACAGTGTGAGGTTTGAGCTCGTGTCCTGACCCCATCATGGTGTTGTTTTCCAGTTCCCCAAACTGGTCACTGGACCAAAAGGATCCTGCGTAGTGTTACCTTTTGGATAGTCCAGAATAAATGACTGTCTTGGATGCTTACATGAAGGGCTTGGTACTATTTATTTCTGTTTAAGGCATTGATAAGATTTGCATTTGTTGAAATCCCTCAGACAGCACCACCACACATAGAGCAGATGCGGCTATAGATGATTTGGATATCTGCAATGCAGCAGCTCTAACCTTTGTTTTCTTCTGATAGTACCTTGTGGGAATCAGTTGTCAGGGGGAGGGAGTGGCAGTTCTACTGTTCTGCTCTTACTGTGAGAGTAATTTATTTTATCTTGACCTGATCCTAAAATGGCTGGATCTCACTGTGGATCCTTTGAGATTTGCCTCAGTACCTCAGCTGGAGAAGAGTAATCGCTGTCGTGGTGACTGGAAAGCTGCTCCCTGTTTAGCTGGCTGTGTAAAAGTTCTTAGATGAATCAGGAATGTCATGCAGTTTGTGTTTTGGCTGTGGAATTGGGCATCCCATGTGAAAGTTGTATCTCATAGGGAGGGAGTGAGCTGTAACTTTAAGGACTTTGCCACATATTGTCTCCTTTCAGGTCCTGAAATCACTCTAAGTACTACTGTCCACTGCAAACTGAAATTGGGATTTGCTTCACAGCCCCTAGAGTCTGACAGCTGGTACATTGTTTTGGAGATGTTCTTGTGCAGTCCGTGGGAAAGCAGATCTGTCCTATTCCTGAGAAAGGCCGGGCAAGAGAGGATGAATTGGGAAGAAACTTTCAGACTTTACTCTCATACAGTGCTTCTTGCTCTCTGGCACTTAAAATGCGGAGGCAGAAATCTGAGCTCCTGAGTTTCAGGCTTCATTCTGCACCAGTTTCCTGTTTGAGTATGAGAACTTCCCTTCTAACTGCTGTTTGCCATGGAAAATGGGGCTAATGACACTGTATTTTGGGCAAGAATTTGAAAAATGAACTTAAAGAGTGGCAGAAGCTCTCAGTTGGATGTTCACTATAAGAGTAGAGTATATTCTTTCTGCTGTGTAAATATCTGGCTCTGACACATCATTTATCAACATTATACATATTTTGTCTCCTAAAAATTGCAGGTTCTTATCCTTAAGGGTCTCAAGCAGGAAGTCAGTTGCCTCTGCCCGTCTCCAGATGGGTTGCACTTGGCTGTTGGGTACGAAGATGGATCAATCCGTGTCTTCAACCTCCTAAGCGGAGAAGCGAGTATCACTTTCAATGGACACAGGGCTGCAGTTACAGCACTGCAGTACGACCATCTGGGTGGCCGCCTGGTGTCTGGCTCAAAGGTGAGGGTTGCACACCTGGAGGATGGCCCTTTCACAGAGATGCTCCATGGGGAAGGCTGACCTGCACTAAAATGTTCAGCATTTTAGGTGGGTTATGTGGACCTCTGCCTGCAGCCACAGGATGGCAGTGAGAGGAGTTAGGACTGCAAGACAGTGATGAAACTGGGAGCCCAGGGCTGGGAAAGCTGCAGGGGTACTAGTACAGGTTTTAAAGTGAAGAAACTTGTGAGGTCAGGAATAGCAAAAGTGACTCAGTCTGAGATAACATTACATTTACTAGTGTGAATGCACCTTTGGGGAAGGAATGGCACTTGCATTAAGTATCTTGACATTCAAGTTCAGAGTGAGAAAGTGTGCTCTCAGCTGATATTTTCAGTCTCATAGCAGAACTTTTGCAGAGGCAAATGCCAGTCCCTTGGAGATGCTCTCTCTGTTCCAGGATACCGAAGTCATCGTGTGGGATGTCATCAATGAGAGTGGTCTGTACCGGCTGAGAGGACACAAGGATGCTATCACTCAGGTCCTTTTCTTGAAGGAGAAGAACCTGTTGGTCACCAGGTGAGCCAGGCTAAGTGTAGCTGTTGATCAGGAAAGCAGGCATGGTTTTACTTGAAATTTAGGCATCCTATGTTCTACAGCCATTTATGTTCTCCTTCGTGTCTCATGAGATCTCAGACCCACCGTCATCTTTGATTTTGTCACATCCACATATTTTTTAATAGTGCTTGAATCCAGATGTGGTTAGTGGAGCTGAAATGACCATACTGAAAAACAGTATTTAGAAAAGTGTTTAACAAGCTGGTAGATGCAACAACTTAAAATTATTTTAACAAGGAATAGCGATAATATGTTCATTATGTATGTAGTCATTTTTACTGTTTATCTTGAAGAATTAAGCAGACTTAACTATGTCTGTCCAGACAGCAATGTGACAGAAAAATTGCTTCATCATAAGCTGTAAATATAGGAATAAATTAAAAGATGATAGGGTGTTATTTTTAGTTGGTTTTTTGTTATTCAACATGAGCTGTGAGTTGACTAAATAACTTTATTAAATGGTTGACAGAAGATACTCTTGTGGAAGTGTCAGTCAGTAATTTTTTATTTATTAATACGTCTTACAGTAGCTTAAGAGAAAAGTGCATGCTATCAGTTGAGTGTAAAATTAGAGTTTCTTTAGCTTTTCTTAAATTTTTTTCAGTAGCATTTGGTTAGTTTGGTGGATGATACCCATCCCTTAATGCAATTTCAGTACTTGCAGGTCAGTTTTAGAAATGCTTCTTAATTTTCTCAGTAGCTAAATTGAGATAAAATTCCTCTCTGTTTTTGTATTTATTTTATTAACAGAGTACAGATATTATCCTGTTTTTCTGAAGATGCAAAGTCTTGCTTCCTTACTTTAGATTGTTTTATTGCCCAAGCAACTAACTACCTTCCTTCGTGTACAGAATTTTTTGTGGTATTTTCATCTGTCCAGTTTGCAAATGTCATTGAATCCTATGTAACAAAAGAGGTGGATTAACAATAAATACCACTTGTAATCAGAATTTTTTTTTTTTGTCCTGAGGGAGCTTAGTAATGTAACAATTTGTATCTTGATTTAGTTGAAACTTATTGAGGAGAATAGGCTCTGAAAAACTTACCAAAAATTAATAAAGTTAAATTGTTGTAGGGTGCACTGAAAGAATGCTGAAATTACTTTTCTTGAATGCTCTTGTAGTATTGAGGTAGCATAATGTGTGTGTTTTCAAGGAGATCTTATCCTGTGTGGGCTTTGAAGGACTGAAACAGCTGTAACTCTGCAGATGAGTGTTCAAAAGGAAGGAATCTGTGTTTCTTGTAGCCTGGTCAGTGCACAGGCATGGCACTTGTTGAGACTACAGAGAATTGTTCTCATCCCAAATTAGCAAGGAAGAAGGCAGTGTGACACTGGGGCTGGGAGCTGCAGGTGGAAGTAGTTTTCAGTAACTTGCCAGATACATTGTTGGAGTACCTTTGTATTACTCTACTTTGTTCTTGTGTAGCTTGGGAAATTCAGTGTCTGAGCAGCTGCTCTGGGATATGTTGTGGCATGTTTTAGATTTTTTTTATTTTTTTATTTCTACCACTTTTCTAAGCATGTGTGCTCTGGCAGTCTTTCCTCAAGTGTTGAGTTTTGATTCTTTGTTCCAGTGGCAAGGACACACTGGTAAAATGGTGGGATCTGGATACCCAGCACTGCTTCAAAACTCTTGTTGGACACCGAACTGAGGTAAAGGGGATGTGTGGGGAACTGTTGGGGTGGAGGGACTCTGGATTACATGTCATGGCTCACTTTGTGCTTTCCCTGCTCTCAGGGGTTGTAAGCTGGCACTGTCATACATTTTACTTGTCATTAGGCTTTAGGAATGAACAAATGAGAAACTTCTGTACTTTCCAGGAGCTGTCATCAACATGCAGTTGGTAACAGGTCCAGTACAGAGGTCCCCAGAGGAGGTCTCAGCTAACCATTCTCTCTTTTTTATTCATTTAAATAAATCAATTAGAGATGCACTGCTGTTGTGATAGTTAAAGCAGCCATAAGCCATTTTCTCACACTGTGCCTCTGGACAGGTCTGGGGAATGGCTTTGCTATCCAAAGAGAAGCGTCTGATCACTGGGAGTGCTGACAGTGAGCTGAGGGTGTGGGATCTCACATACATCCAGGAGGTAAGACGCTCCCTCTGTAACCCCTCAGTCTCCCCCCTGCCCAGTTGCTTGTCTTTGGACTAAGGTGGGACTGGTACATGTGGAAATCTAGTTGATGTTCTGGGAACCAGAGCCAAAGCGACATCTTTGCTGTCTGAGGGGTCCAGAAGCTGCCCTTGGGATAGGCTTTGCTGTTTTCTCTGTTTTTAGCTTTCAAGTGAAGCTGCAAGCTCTTCCAGAACAAGATTTCCACAGTGTGTCAGATCTTCCTGCTTTACGGCTAGAGGGGCCAGTCTTGTGGGTGGGTGATAATCATGGGAGAACATTGAGTGCTTGGTGCCTACAGGCATGCTGTAGGCTACTCCAGTGTATGCTAACTAATTGTATCTCCAGGGAAATGAAGTGTGAGACAGGAACCAGAACACTGTAGCTCTTATGGTTTAAGGTACTCC